GGCTGGCATGTGGTGCTGGGGGACTGAACCGCGGTCCCTGTGCTTTGCCAAGCTTATTCTAAGTAGGTGCTTTAGACCACTGAGCCATCTCACCAGCCCTGTCCTGAAGAGTTTAATGTCCACCAATGCAGAAGAGCCTACCTGCTCTCCCTGCAGTTGGTGCCTGCCTCCCAGGAGTCTGGACAGTTTGGAAGACAGAATAATGGCCTATAAATGGCCTATCCTGTACTCCAGAACCTACGACCCTGTATCTTATATGGCAAAAGGGACGTGCTGACGTGATCAAATGAACCACCGGGTGTCAGCCTGCTGACATCTGAGAAGAGAGATAAACACTGTGGTCATAATGGTCCACAGAGCTTAATTAATGTTGACTTTTCCTCACAGCACACAGCAGTTTTGAATGGATATAAGACACATGATACTAGGCCAGCTAGAAATGAAACAAAACTCCAACTTCATCTTTAAGATACAGCACAATTTGGGGATATTTATTTATTTATTGTGTACAGGGTCTCGCTACGCAGCTCAGACTTGTAGTGATCCTCCTGTCTCATCCTTCCCAGCACCGGGATTACAGGCATGTGCCACCACACCCAGGGGTTCTGAGACTGGCACAGCATGCAGTACTGGGGACAGAACCAGGGTCCTTGTGCTTGCCAGGCAGGCACTTCAACCACTGAGCTATCTCTCAGGGCAGTTATCACTGTGCTCGTGGGGGCCCTGCTATGACTCATTGTGTTAAGGAAGTTTGTATCACACGGCATTCAGTTGGGAGTGAAGAGCAATCTTCTCTAGTACAGAATGTTCAGTGTCTTTGACATCTCACAGGTCCTTCAAGGACAGTTTTTAGAAGAAAAGTCATGACCTTCAAACATAAAATGAGTCAGGTGTGATGGCACACGTCTGTAATCCCAGCCCTCAGGAAGCTGAGGCAGGAGGATCACTGCAAGTTTGAGGCCAGCCTGAGCTACAAAGTGAATTCAAGGCCAGTCTGAACTGCACAGTGAGACCCTCTCTCAGACAAAAAAAGAAAGCCCCATGACCTTGAGGTCATTGATTCTCAAAACCAAGTAGCCAGATCTCCAGCACCTCTGCCAGTGGTCCACTGATAATACACACCAGAACAGAAGTTAACATTGCAAGACCTTGCCGCTGTGCCTACATTACACTAGGACTTAAGTTAGGGTGAAATTTTATTCTTTAAGTTTTTTTCGAAAATATCTTACAGGGGGCTGGGGAAATAGCTCAGCAGCATAAGGGCCTGCATGGCAAGCACAAGGTCTCAAGTTCAAGCCCGGCACAAAGAAAGAAAGAAAGAAAGAAAGAAAGAAAGAAAGAAAGAAAGAAAGAAAGAAAGAAAGAAAGAAAGAAAGAAAGAAAGAAAGAAAAAAAGAAAGAAAGAAAGAAAGAAAGAAAGGGAGAGGAGGAATGTCAACTATTCAACATGGAGGCGGAGGTCGATAAGCTAGAACTGATGTTCCAGAAAGCTGACTCTGATCTGGATTATATTCAGTACAGGCTGGAATATGAAATCAAGTCTAATCATCATGATTCAGCAGGAGAGAAAAATCCAGTAACGCTCATAAAGGAATTATCAGCCATAAAGCCTCGATTCCAAACTTTGTATGCACGTTTTAAACCTGTTGCTATTGAACAGAAAGAGATTAAGAGCCGCATTTATACTACTTTG